ATTAACAAAGCTACATCGTATTGCTGCTCAAAATGTTTGGTTTAATCAGCAGTGTAAACAACTTCATGTTATTCCCAATTATATCCAAATACGTTCTAACACACATAGTCGAGCGGCCAGTGTTGCCATTTCCAAAGCTCAGAATATTTGGCTTAATGAGGAATGTCGTCGTTGGTTTTCCAATAGAGATAACTTAAAAACCCACCTTAAAGTATTATATTCTGAACTTTCATATAAATTACATAATATTGAATTTGATATTTTGGATGGGAAAGCCAGAGAACTTGCTTCAATGGCCATTTACGAGAAATATCAAATTCAATCCCATAAGTTAAAACGACTTGTATCTTCTTCATCCCGTAAACGTAATAACGACATACATACTGAATATCACCAATTTTATCCCCGTGTTAAAAATCTTTCCGATGTCCAGTTTCCAACGGATGAGTTGTCCCTTTTACACAAAGGCCTAAAGTATAATTTAACACCTTCGGTCTCCCAAAGATCGTTAGAGACTGTAGCCGTTGACGCGGAGGTGGCTGCTGTGATCGGGAGGAAAGATAACATCGTTAAAAGTTTGTTAGCTAAAGAAATTCAGGAGGCACCCGCATCTTCCCATTGCAATCCTGAGTTCCCCATTTTTATGTCACTAAAACATAGAATAAAAGACAATAACCTTATTGTTACTAAGGCCGACAAGGGAAATACTGTTGTCATTATGGAGAGTAGCGGGTATAGCCAGAAGGTTAACGATGTTATCCAAGGTGACGACTTTCAGCTGTTAGAGTCTGATCCAACCAAAAAGTTTACTTCGGATATTAAAGTATGTATACAAAAGTCGTCATATGTTTTTCCCGATCACAACTTGTCTCGGAGCAATCTTGTTCCAATGAATCCTCAAGCACCCACTTTATATGGGTTACCTAAATTACATAAAGAACATGTTCCTATTCGTCCAGTTGTCTCATATATAGGTGCACCAGCTTATTTCCTTGCTAAAAAATTAAACTTCCTCCTTCGGGAGAAATCTGGTTTCAACCCCACTTACAGCCTTAAAAATAGTTTAGAACTTATTTCCAAAATAAAAGATATTCGTATTCCACCTAAATCTATGTTGTTGTCTTTAGACGTTGATAGTCTTTTCACAAACGTCCCATTCCCTGACTGTTTGCGTATACTCTCAGATCTCTTTAAAAAACGTCGTCTGCATCCCGGGGAAACAAATGATCTTCTTAATTTAACCTCTCTCTGTATGAAACAAAATTATTTCCGGTTTAATAACCGTTTCTATCTACAAAGAGAAGGGTTAGCTATAGGGTCCCCTCTAAGTCCACTTATGGCGGACATTTTCATGGATGATTTCGAAAAACAACATATAGTTGTTAACCAAAATATCTTATACTATTATCGATATGTAGACGACATAATTATTTGCTGGACAGGCACAAGGAGACAACTGGATGTTTTCCTTAATAAAATAAATAGAGTCCACGAAAAAATTAAATTTAAGCTTGAATTGGAACAAGATGGCTCCCTTTAATTTCCTTGATTTAACAATAACAATAAAAGAGTCGTTACATGTTTTTCAAATTTATCGAAAGCCAACTCATACCGACACGGTCATCCCCGCATCATCGTGTCATCCATGGCAACATAAATTAGCCGCTTTTTATTGTTACATTAACCGTCTGTCGACTGTTCCATTAAATAAAGAAAATTATTTAAAAGAACTTAATATAATTTATCAAATTGCGGTCTCTAATGGTTTTTCAAAAAGTCTCGTTGATAATCTTATTAAAAAGAAACAAAAGCATGTTGTTCGCAATTATTTGTACGCGGTTCGATCTCAAAGTGTCCGGCGGTATGTGGGTAGTTTGACCTACTTAGGCCCCATATCGGAAAAAATAGCTAATAGTCTAAAGAAAAACGGCGTTAACGTGGTATTCAAAACAAACAATTCGCTTAGGAATATTTGTAATAATAAAGATAAGTTAAATATTAGTCAAAAATCGGGTGTTTATAAACTTGTTTGTGACGAATGCCACGCCGTTTACGTGGGTCAGACTGGTCGCAATTTCGGGACGCGCTATAAAGAACATATGGCCGCGTACAGAAATTGCAATCCTGATAAATCCCATTTTGCTAAACATCTCTTGGACACTGGACACAACCTAGCTAGCGACCATTCCTTTGAAGTGTTACATACCTGTAATAAGGGGCTGCGACTGTGTGTGCTGGAGCAGTTGGAGATTTTAAAAAGTAATAATGGTAATTATACACTGCTGAATGAACAAACAAATGTTTCTAATTCACCTTTGTTAAACATCTTTAAGGCCAATCTTTAATAATAATTTTAAGATTAATGATAATAAATAATTATAATAATATCAATAAAACAATAATAATAATAGTATTTAAAATATTAATCATAACAATAATAATAATTAGTAGCAGATTTGTTATCGCACGGCGCGGTCACTCAAAACAATAATAATAATAGTATTTTAAAAATAATCATAACAATAATAATAACTGTTGGCAGTTTTGTTATCGCACGACGCGGTCACTCGCTACTTTGGTAGGGAGCGATTGTGTCAGCGTGTATAAATAGCAACTGTTTCGACTCGCCGCTCATGCGCCCTCCTTTCTGCCAAGGAGGGTCGCGTTCGTATACGGCTTAGAGATCTCCAGTCAGATCGTTAAGCCATTTCCTAAAAGGTGGTGTTTAGTGGGTAAAAGTCGCCACATAACCACGCAGCCGGCTGCGTGGTATGCTATGAGCATTCACCACCTCCCTCCCCCCGCTTTCCGGAGGGTTGCCCATATTTGCTTCGGGCGCAAAAAAAAAAAAAAAAAAAAAAAAAAAAAAAACTCGCCGCTCACTTAGCGGTCAGCCGCCGTAGAGTCTATATTACCTGATGATGCCTCGTGTAGAGGCGAAACACGTGTCGTATTATCGTCGATGGTGTGTCTTGCCTGGAATAGTGGTGTTGAGAGTAGTGGTGCTTGGTATAGTGGTGACGGAGTTAGTGTATGTAATTGAGGGAAGGCGGGAGGTGCGCTTCATTCCAGGTAAGACACATCATTTTATATGTTTAGCGGAAAGTTGCAAAGAAATTTATATTTTTATTTTTTATTATAATGGATTTCCGCAAAGTAACGCCTGATTCTATCAATTACCCATTGTATGAGTTTCTACAGAAAAGGGACTACGGAAATTTCACCGTTACATCCGTAATCCACATAATATAAAATATGGCTATAGCACTAATGGGTCGGAAACAACAACCCTGAAGTTTAATTATAAAATCACCTCTTATGACACCCGGTACTTATCATACTGATTTAAACAAATACACGAAGAGTTAAATTACGTGTGTGTAACTGATAGCACAGTTTCTTTATCTTAATTTTACTGTTTGCATCATGAAGTTTGGTCTCATTCTCCATAAGTGTTTCGTGTCAAATTCAGCTAAAGTGAAAAATTTTAGAATTACCCTGAAATGTTTAGGCAAATTATTGAAATTTGGGAGATATATAAAATTCGGTTACCAGTTAAGAATGTCACGTTATCGTGCTTAAGTTCTAAACATAAGGGCGAATAGATAGGCTGCAAGCGTATGGAGGTAACGATGCGAAATCTGAATTAGTGTATCATAAACTACTAAGTAATAGTACCAAGATCAAGAGTACTACCTACTTCAGTCGTCACACGGTCTACATTCACCCTCTTTACTCCCCCTTAAAGGTATTAAGATGGAACAACGTTGTCGCCTCATTTAAAACAAGTTGCCCTTATTTATTTCAAGCTTCTCGGTAGAGAGTACAGTATTGTGTTGACGTGTATGCTACGTGTTAGTTATAGTTAACAATTTAGACGAACCTTCTTTTTCGACGACCTGAAGTCGTGTTGGAAGTCGATGGATGCAAGTAGCACAGGACTGTGCTTTGTGGAATTCCTTGGAAGAGGCCTATGTTCAGCAGTGGACTTGTGAAGGGCTGTGATGATGATGATGATGATGATGATGTAGCCAATATTATGGAGAAATTCAAGTTCATTTATTAGGGTACCATCATTAGGATATGATGGGCGCAAACCTGCAGACTATCCTAGACGGCCCCAACCATTACATCAGATTTGATAGACCACAAATCCTCGCGAAAGAACCTACCAAGGATGATACGTGAGGCTATTGAAATTAAAAAACATCCTAATTTCAATAGAGAAGGAGGCTGGGTACTACCACCTGCTTGGGATCCTATAATCAATAAAATTAAAACTAAACCCAAGCATACCACTGCAAGACCTCAGGACATAGTCAGTTCATTTTGCATAGATCGGACCAAAAAAAAAGTTGTACAATAATTAAATTTTTGTAAAAGCTGAAGGTATTTCTCCGGGTTTAACAATGACATCGGGACGTCAGTCATCTCAGTCCCCCGTGACCATGGGTGCTGGAAAGCGCCCGAAACGTCGGGAATTAAAAATAACAAGTAAAAATAAACGCGGGATAAAATCCGTAAAAGTAGTTTTAATCATGTGCAATGTTCCTAAATAGTATGAAATCATTAAACAAAGGCTATTATTAATTTTTATGATGGCATAAACAACATTTTCTTATTTTTTTTTTGTTTCACTTCAATACGCGTAGAATGTTTTTCTGATGATAAAAATGCTCAGAAATTATTTTGTTTAAGGAATCACACATTACATAAATAAAAAATAATAACAATAACTGTTACTACTAGCAATTAATGTATTTTATTGTTAAAAACCTCAGAAAATCAATTTCAAAAAAGAGCTGACTTCGTCTAAGACAAATGTAGCTTAATGGTTTAATGTATCATCCCCTTCAGGCTTTGCATCCATCTTTCGAACAACCTGTAGTTTGTATTAACTTTGTAAAATCAGAAGGTCGTAATAGCAGACATTATTATATACAACTACAATCTTAACTTTTTTATTTTTAAGTAACCATATTTCTTCTATTCTTTTACAGTCCTGAATTCGGAACTAAAGAAGATATTGAGAATCTCTTCTCTTGGGAAAACAGCGTGGAGCAATACACCAGCGTAGGAGGGACTTCAAAAACGGCTGTGTTTCAACAAATTTCTCAGCTGAAGAACTGGTTGGAAATGGAAGACACTATTCATTTAGAATAAAAAAGAACATTATAATGTGTATTCTACACTAAATAAAAAAATGTAATTGTCGCCAAAAAATAATTAGGTATTTAAATGTATCGTGCAATTTGTCGAACAGCAGAGATGTAGATACGAGAATCTCTGGCCCGAGAGCACTGAAAAAATCAGGAAGGAAAATGCTAAAAAATTCGTGTGGCAACAAATTGTCCAGAGCTACAAAAGTACGGAGAATACAAAAATGTTTAACATACCTCTTAGCGACCTGATAAGAACTTAACCTCTCAATCCCCTAGCGGTCTCATGAGGCCGCGGCCATATTAAAAAAACTGCGATTGTCATTGTTGTCCCGCTTGCTAAGCATGGCAAACACCCCCCCCCCCCCCAATAAGGCTATCTATGGGAAGACCTATGTTCAGTGGTGGACTTTTATAGGCTGTAATTGATAATGAATAAGGTGTTTTTACTCAATTATTTGACAGAATACAAGAATTTAATAAATACATTTAGAACATTTAGACGACTCCGTGGTGCAGTGGCTTAGCAATAAAGGGTTCGAATCCCGCACGGAACAAGTATTTGTATGGCCTACAAATAGTTGTTCCGGGTCTGGATGTTTGTCCTTGTGCAATTTATGTTTGTAAACTGCCCTTACGATACAAGAGAAAATCTTAGTGTAGGGGTAACGTTTTTTAAAACAAAAAAAAAGAACTTTGACTTCGAGGCTAGCGATCGTCATTTTAGTTTTTAAATAATGTACAATATGACTTCTATGGACATTAAATATTCCTTTTTATCATGTCTAATTATTTCGTTGGGAACACAATCAGTAACGATTACATAGACAGCGTATTTTAACGTGAAATGTAATCTTTTAATTAAATAGTTCCGTATGCTATCAGAGCAGGGACTTTACCGACTTAATTAAGGCGCCAAACAAGTTTTTCTACAACTATAGTAAAATTTAAATAACCTATGGCTTGCTTTTTGTTTACTGTAGTTTGTACAGCATTTTACAAACTCCACACATTATGTACATGTTTTCTTATCTATAAAGTTCTTGAAAAAAGTTTTGGAGTTCGCTTGCGGAAACTTCTGTTGCACAAATTAAAAAATTAAAGACTTATGTAAACATTAAGTTTCTACTGGTTTTGACTGGTGTCGCAGATGTACAAGTTGTGCGGCTGTAAAGGAACCTCAGACTCGAAGTAGAGGTACATTGAAGTTGTACAATGTAGGTGCACCATGGGAGAGAATATCCATTGACGTGGCGGAGCCATTTCCGGAAAGTGAAAGTGGTAACAAGTATTTCATGGTTGTGATGGATTACTTCACTAAGTGGCCAGAAGTATTCTCCATTCTAAATCAAGAATGTTTCATAGAATAATCTGTATAAGTACCCATATTATTTTATTAGGGTACCAGCACCTCTGAAAAATCCCTGGCTGAGCATCCACGACCAAGCTACTCCACACAGGCTGCCCCGCGTATTCTGAGAGAGGCAAAAAACAATAACTGCTCGGGGCAAGCTGAGCAACAAGACCAAGGCGACCCCTGTCACGCTATCCGTGAATTTCTGCAGTATCAGGGGACTTCACTCAAACCTAAATGCCGTCCACAACCATCTCGAGACGGCGAAGCCGGCCTGACCTCTCATCCGGACGGATATCAGGTCTCCGTCGATGCCTCAAATCCTCAGATCCTTGTCTGTACGGAGTGTGGTTCTCATGCTGAAATTGCGGCAGATACGCTGCATTCTGCAGGATGCCGCCGTGTTTGGCACTAAAGGTCAGCCGATTGGGAAAGGATGCGGTCTTTCTTTGCATCCTACCCTTGGGGGCGGGTTTGCCTCTCGCTGGACGATCTCAACGCTGTTGCTGATTCTATCACTGATGTGGAACTTCAGGGTATGGAACTATAAAACCGATCTGCTAGGCTTTTTCTTTGCGTCCAACTCGATTCTCGATGACATGGGGAACACACTGCCGACTATCCCGCGGTGTGAGTGCTCCATGCCGGAAGTGCGGTTCACACAGAGCTCGGTTCACGAAACACTCTTCTTCCTGGACATCCACAAGTCGAGTGAGCCTGACGGAATCCCCCCAATTGTGCTGAGGACATGTGCTCCAGAGTTGGCACCGGTTCTAACGCGTCTTTTCCGGTACGCCTACTCTCTAGGCGTAGTCCCAAAATCATGAAAGACCACTTTCGTCTACCTGATCCCCTAAAAAACGCGACCGCTCAAATCCGTCGAACTACAGGCCTATCGCCATCACCTCCTTGTTTTCCAAAATAATGGAATTCGTTATAAACTGCCAGCTCATGCAGTACCTTGAGTATTGAGAACCAATACGGTTTTCGTAGGTGCCGATCAGATGGTGATCTTCTTGTCTACCTGACTCATCGATGGGCGGAGGCAGTAAAGTCCAAGTGGCCGTTAGTTTAGACATTGCGAAGGCCTTCGATCGAGTTTGGCACAAAGCGTTTCTTTCGAAGCCCAGAATGCAATCGCAGATCTGAGCATCAATGTCGTTGTAGACGGTGCATGCTCCGATGCTATCGCCAACGCTGTTTCTTCTGCATATCAATGATATGTTGCAAACCCGTAACATTCATTGCTATGCAGATGACAGCACTGGTGATGCTTTGGTCACCGGCTGTACCAATATTTCTTGGGAAAACGTCTCCGAGTACCGGGACGAACTTGTGTCTGAATTCGAGTCTTTGCTGAACAAAGTCTCGGACTGAGGGAGTTCAGTTTAACCCTCAGAAGACACAAGGCCTCGTATCTCCTCAATTTCAAGGCACTCCGCTTGTTGCCTCAGCCAGTATCGGAATCCTCGGCGTCGATATATCGAGTGACGTGCATTTTCGTGGTCACATGGAAGAGAAGTCCAAATTGCCATCTAAAAAGCTTGGCGTGCTCAGCAGAGCGGGACAGTGTTTCATGCCGGCACAACACCTGCAACTTTACAAGGCGCAGGTTCAGCTGCACATGGAATACTGTTCCCATCTCTGGGCTGGACTCCCCAGTGCCAGCTCCTTCTACTTGACTGCATCCAGCTCAGAGCGCCTTGAATCGTCGACGACCGAGTGCTTTCCGATCGGCTTGATTCACTGGCGCTGCGAAGAGATGTCGCATCTCTTTGCATTTTCTTTCGCATTTACTACGGGTGAGTGCTCTGAATTCTTCGGAATTGTTCGGATTAATTTCAGCCGCCAAATTTCATTAATGCACTACGCAGCAAACCTCCTGATATCATCCACACCATCTGGATGCTTGGCGGTCCACCACCGTATGTTTCACTAGAAGTTTTCTTCCGCGTACGACCTCTCTGTGGAATAGTTTACCACCGGCGATTTTTCCGAACCGATGCGACCAAGGGACCTTTAAGAAAAAATCTTACTCCTTTATAAAATGCCAGCAACGCACCTGCAGTTCCCCTGGTGTTGCGGTTATTCATGGGCGGCGGTAGTCACTTACCGTACCCTCGTTTGCCCCCTCTCTTATAAAAAAAATTATTAACGCGATATAATCACGTCAATGTAATTAAATCTCATAATAAAAATGTTTTTCTTTACTTAAAAATGTCTATTTGTATCTAATAATTGAACATAAGCTGACATCATCGGCACACAGATTGTTATTCGTCAATTCAGTTTTTATCCAGGTTACATTTTTAGCTCCCGATTATATTAGGTTATATATGATGTCGAGGAATTATAAGTATCGAGCATAAAACCATTTTTTGAATAATAGATTTGCATTTAAATAGCTTAAGGTAAAACACGTACATAGATATTTATAGTTGTATTTTTTTTAAAGCAATCTAAGTTATACTTTTATTACATCAGTAAATTGTCACAGAATCTTAGTATCTTATTTTAAATAATCGTGACAGTTAGTTCGTTTCTTTACAAAGTGGTAACACTGCTGCATTGACGATAAGCTATTTTGCTATTTTGTTGCAATCATCTGTACCTATAGTTCCTATTTTGTATATTTAAAGCATAGTATGCTACTTTGTTGCAATCATCTGTACCTATAGTTCTTCAGGTTTAGGACCCCTATGAGCGAATTTAATAGTTGCCACAAGCTAAAAACAAAGTCAATAAAAAGTTCGTCGATCGTTACCACTCGATCGTGATCGTGAATTCTGTAACCATTCGAACGTGAACAATGAGTGCGTGTCTCGTTATTACCACTCTGGGACTTTTAAAATCACAATAATGTGGGGAATCGCTTTCTTTTCGCAACTAAATACTGAATGGGCACGTAATATAATGCATAGTCATAACATAGTTCCATTTTACCAGTGCATCGGGAACAATTAATTTCGAAAGGTGGCCATAGGTATGGCGGGGCAAACGATCAAGTGTACTGTATTAGCGTGGTCCTAAAAGATGGGCCCAACCTGGGGGAAGCGGCGAGCGGCCTCTCTCTTGACGGCTATGCGGGCACGATGGAAAATTACGACGATGGAAAGGAAAAACGGAGGAAAACCAAAGATGGATCCACCAGTATCTAACTACCCCTTCTAGGCAGGCCCGTGCAGAGAAGGAACGAAAGAGAGGGGGATTATGTCAGCCAACCCAACTAACAAATACATCAACAAATACGAAATACAAGGGTGTGCGTTGGCGCAACCACTTTGTATTTCATAGAGATTTTTTTAACGAGAGATATTATATACATATATATCCCTATGCAAAGTTGTGTTTTTTAACGAGAGATATTATATACATATATATCCATATGCAAAGTAGTGTTTTTAACGAGAGATATTATATACATATATATCCCTAAGCAAAGTTGTGTTTTAACGAAAGATATTATATACATATATATCCCTATGCAAAGTAGTTTTTAACGAGAGATATTATATACATATATACTTAATATCGCTATAATAAAAAAAATTTATATATAGGGCTTAGATGAGCAGAAATTAACAGTGGTGGTGCTTATTGACTTTTCAAACGCTTTCAACACAGTGGATCATGGTATCCTCCTATCCATC